TTTGAATATGAGCTTAATAATAAATCCCTTAGTTAAAAAATAAAATCAACCAAACTCAAAAAGTGGATTTTTGAATGAAAATGTTTTGTAATAATAACTTAAGTAGCAGCCAGGCAGCTTTATTTACCGTAGTTTCCAGACTATAAGCCGCTACTTTTTTCCCCGCGCTTTGAACCGTGCGGCTTATGATGAGGAGCGGCTTTACTGAAGGTTTTCCTTCACCTGCCACTAGGGGGCGCTTTAGCAGGAAGTGAAACAGGTGGAAGTCAAAAGTGGAAATGGAAGAAAGTGCTCATTTTAATTTAGCACACGCAAGCAGCCGGCACCGCGAAGAATGTTTTTCAAGTCCATACCCCCTCATCATGGTAACTACACGTATGAGTTCATATGATGCTGCATTTAAGCTGAAGGCATCGATCTGGCAGTAAAGGAGGGAAACAGCGCTGCCGCACGTACGCTTGGCATGAATGAATCCATGGTTCGGCGCTGGAGACGGCAGCGGGAAGAACTCATTCAAGCCAGCTTCACCCGGGGATGATGACAGCAACACGGACAGCGACACGGACATCGCCACAGAAAAGGTATGTGACGAAGCTCTTCTGAGGCTGTTCAGCTCCGACCCTGAAGAAGAGGACTTTAATGGCTTTAGTGCGCAGGAGGAAGATGAGAGCGAATGACTTCTTCTGGTAGGCAGGTGTGTTTTATTTACTAACCAGGCATGTTTTGTGTGCAGTTTTTATTTTCTAACCATCCAGGGCTTATTAATGCTGAGTCAGCGCTGTTCTGTTCTTCTAAACATGCAAATGACCGGTAATAACGTGTCAGTGCTGTTTTTATTTCATAACATCCAGAAATATGAATGCTATCGGTGCTGTTTTCTACACTTGCAGGCACGCTCACCCGTGTTTAAAATTCTTTTTGTTGAATTAAAACAACAAGGAAAAACCTCCGTGTAGCGTCTTCCTGTCTAATTATCTTACGTCATGGCCGTACATGCGCTGTGCACCGGAGACCTGCATGTGGCTGCTGCGCCGCGGCTTGTGTTTGAGTGCGGCGTGTGTGTGTGTGTGTAGAAAACCTTTTTTTTTTTTTTGCTGGTGCGGCTTTTATTGAGGTGCGCGCTATAGTCCAGAAATTACGGTAACTTATCTAATGCTGGGAAATGAGTCAACAGACAACTTCGGTTTTGGGTGGAGTAGTTTAGGACCTCAGTTATAAAATGCTGATAAATGTACTTCTCTTCAGAACTATAAAACAC